GGTCAAATTAAAATAAAGTTAGATAAAATAATTCTTAAATAAATATTGAGTCATCGGAAAAGTCATGACACATTTTTGCACAGAGAAACATAGAAAACCATGTCATGACTTTTCTGACAACCCAATAAAATTAATTCTTTTAAAAACCCAACAACAAACAAACAAACAAAAAAACCCAAAGAGCTGCAACACTCAGCAGCAAGAGAAATAGCTTGTTTGAAAAGATCCAGCAACACTGAACTGGTCTTGACAAATGGTAAGCTTTGAACATACCTGGTGAGCAGAACATCATTCCTGATGGAGGACTGTCGTAAGAAATTTAGGAAGCCATAGGGCATGTCCTGAGAATAGAAAACACTTCAGTTTGTGTAGAGTTGTGGTTCTAGTCAGGGATGACTTTGCTTTGCAGGGGACATTTGGCAATGTCTGGCTGTCAAGGTTTTGGCTGTCACAAAGACAGGAAAGTTGTTACTGGCATTTGGTGTGTAGACAGATGCTAACCACCCTGGAGTATACAGGGCACTGAATTGTCTGTCAGTATACTGAGGTGGAGAAGCCCAGGCTAGAGCATAAAAGGTAAGACATGGGAGAAAAACTAGGGCTTTTAATACAGAACATTCCAGAGGTTGAAACATAGCTGGAGGGTGTGTGGATGCTCAGATGGGCATAGAGTGGGGACTCTGTGGTAAGGGCCTGGGTGAGGGAAATGGAGTGGAGAGACAAAGAGTGAGGGGATGGGATGACAATTTGGAAAGACTGGTCCTTAGCTAATACTTAAGTTGAGGTCCGGAAGGAATGCTCTCTGGCCTTGAATAGAATCAGAATTTCCCTTCTGCCTCAACTCCCTCCTATAGGCTGGAGCCCACTGGATGTGTTACTGCGTTCACTGCTGACAGAGCCCATATTTCTGGCTGGATTTCTGGGCTTCCTTCTGGAGAACACCATATCTGGTAAGTTGAGGCCAGGCCCTGGCTGACTGGGGTCAGGAAGTCAGTTCTCCCTGGGTATGTAGTTAAGGTGCTGGGCTTCCATATAGCTGACTGCAATTCAAGTCCCGGACCTGGCTTGTTTTCTCACTTTCCCTCTCTCTCTCTCTGGTCAAGTTAAAAAATAAATATTGGGGAGCTGGCAGGTGGCGTGGTGGCTAAGGGTGCTGGACTCCTGCATGGCTGATCGTGGTTCAAGTCCCAGGCCTGGCATCTTGCTTTCTCACTTTCCTTCTCTCTCTCTCTCACTCTGTCCCTCTCTGGTCAAATTAAAATAAAGTTAGATAAAATAATTCTTAAATAAATATTGAGTCATCGGAAAAGTCATGACACATTTTTGCACAGAGAAACATAGAAAACCATGTCATGACTTTTCTGACAACCCAATAAAATTAATTCTTTTAAAAACCCAACAACAAACAAACAAACAAAAAAACCCAAAGAGCTGCAACACTCAGCAGCAAGAGAAATAGCTTGTTTGAAAAGATCCAGCAACACTGAACTGGTCTTGACAAATGGTAAGCTTTGAACATACCTGGTGAGCAGAACATCATTCCTGATGGAGGACTGTCGTAAACACAGAGAATTAGGAAGCCATAGGGCATGTCCTGAGAATAGAAAACACTTCAGTTTGTGTAGAGTTGTGGTTCTAGTCAGGGATGACTTTGCTTTGCAGGGGACATTTGGCAATGTCTGGCTGTCAAGGTTTTGGCTGTCACAAAGACAGGAAAGTTGTTACTGGCATTTGGTGTGTAGACAGATGCTAACCACCCTGGAGTATACAGGGCACTGAATTGTCTGTCAGTATACTGAGGTGGAGAAGCCCAGGCTAGAGCATAAAAGGTAAGACATGGGAGAAAAACTAGGGCTTTTAATACAGAACATTCCAGAGGTTGAAACATAGCTGGAGGGTGTGTGGATGCTCAGATGGGCATAGAGTGGGGACTCTGTGGTAAGGGCCTGGGTGAGGGAAATGGAGTGGAGAGACAAAGAGTGAGGGGATGGGATGACAATTTGGAAAGACTGGTCCTTAGCTAATACTTAAGTTGAGGTCCGGAAGGAATGCTCTCTGGCCTTGAATAGAATCAGAATTTCCCTTCTGCCTCAACTCCCTCCTATAGGCTGGAGCCCACTGGATGTGTTACTGCGTTCACTGCTGACAGAGCCCATATTTCTGGCTGGATTTCTGGGCTTCCTTCTGGAGAACACCATATCTGGTAAGTTGAGGCCAGGCCCTGGCTGACTGGGGTCAGGAAGTCAGTTCTCCCTGGGTTGGGCAACAGCCTGACCAACCTCTCTTTTGCAGGCACACAGCTTGAGCGAGGCCTAGGTCAAGGGCTGCCGGCTCCTTTCACTGCCCAGGAGCCTCGAATGTCTCATAAGTCCGAAGAGAAGGCTGCTCAAGAGTATGGGCTGCCTTTCCCCGTCCCCCATGTCCCCCAGCGCCTCCGCTGCCTCTGTCCACTGCCTGAACACTCTGGGGATGAGGGAGGAGGGGCCTCTGAGCCGGAAGAGATGGTAGACTTGTTGCCTGGCTCTGGAGAGCCATGCCCTACAGCTAGCAGAGCAGGGATTAGATCCCAGTAATCACTAGGACTCATATTTTGTCCTGGCCAGTTTAGCCCTAATTCCCAGCTTGCTGGAGAATCAGCTCCCAGGCTCTACTTCCTTCTAGGGAGAGGCTATGTGCAACGTGTATGTGTGTCTGTCTGCCTACATGGGCCCATCCGTGGTCTCATTTCCTAATGGGGTGAGTTGCTGTTCCTTAATTAGGCCTGTTCCAGACCAGAAACCATAGTCTAGTGGGCTATGAAGGAATGAATGAGTGAAACTCTACCTGTGAACTATCAATGCCTTTCACATTTAAGCATGTACTTACCAAATATTTATTGAGCACTTCCCATGTGCAAGATTCTGCAGTTACAGAAATGGATATGATAGGGTCCCTCCCCTGTCAGGCATTTAGTTTAAAAAGATCTATGTGATTACTAACTAAAATGCAAAGTGGGAGCAGTCTGTAATAAAGGTTAAAATAATATCGTGGAGGGGGACCAGCAGGTGGCATGGTTATTAAGGCACTGGACACTCCCACATGGCTGACCACGGTTCGAGTTCCGGACTTGGTGCCTTTCGCTCTCTCTCTCTTCCTCCCTCCCTCTGTGTGTGTGTGTGTCTCTCTGGTCAAACTAAAAATAAATGAATGAATAAATTAAAAAAAATAATATCATGGGAATAAAGAGAAAGGAACAATTCATTCTGACTGGGGATAATGAAAGGGTTTATGAAAGAAGCAATCCTACAAGATGGCCTTGACTCACAAGTGAGGGGGATTTTTGGTTTTGAGAAATGGGACAGGGAGAATTTTTTTTTTTTTTTTTGCTATAGGGCATGTGTGCTCCCCAGAAAGACAGAGACAGAAAGCAGGAAATCACCTCCTGGGGGGATAGCCATGCTGTGATCCCTTCTCCTTGGGATCTTGGCATGCACGCACATGCACCTGGAGTGAGTTTAAGCCTTCGGGTCCGGGACTCAAATCATGATTGACTAAATGGGAGTCGAGTGTCATAGCCATTATGCCAACTGCTGGTCTCAGGACAGGAAGAATTTTTGAGGGATCTAGCCTGAAACCACAAATTGTACAAGGTTCAAGGTGAGTTCAGGTATGGGCATGCATTGAGGGAGAAGTGAAGAAGGAGAGGTGACAGATGAGGTCAGACTACAGGATTGGAGGACCAAGAAATTATCTAGTGAAGTTTAATCACTTGTCAACTTAATAAAAAGAAGATGGGGACAAAGTAAGTAAAGCAAAAGATTTTACTTGGGCTAAGGTTAGGACTGTCACACCGATACTGCAATATCCCACTTGCTGTGAATGTGTGCCAACAAATCACAGATTTCAGGAGGATTTTAAAGACAAGTCTTGAAGGGAGTAGTAATGAGTCTTGTACAGCAATGACTGGGTAAACACTGAAAAATCACCTGGAGTGAACTCATGGTCACCTGGAGTCACTTTGCTTAAGCAAAGAATGGAGACTAGGCTGGCTCTGTAATGCAGAGGTAATGCCTCACTCAAGAGAAGTCGGGTTCCACAGGACAACGCAGTTTGAATCCTGGCTTGTCAGCTGAAACACACTGGGCACGTAAGTAAGTGCCCAAGATCTGCCGGGCTGGAGGGCTGGAGGAAAGCGGCTGCAGCATGACCAACACCTGGGAGGGTGCTCCTCTCTGTTACTCTTGTCCCCTTGTGCATATGCACACACTATCGTGAAAAAAGGAAAAATGTGGAGACAGTAAGTCTGGAAGGTAAAGGAAGAATATACTTGGGCAATAAGGGCATTTATAAAACAAAAGTCAAGGTAAGGGATTGAGCTATTTCAGGTTCACCTTTCTATGAAGCCATAAAATGTGGATAAATCTTATTTCCTTATAGCACCGACTTAGGTAGATTTCAATCTCCTGGTTACAGAAAATAACTGCCCTATTTGAGGGATCTATCAGCCTCTTTAAAGTTTCAGTTTGGTAACTGGGCCATTTTAAGTGACTACACTCTGGTCTGGTCTTTTGGGTTCTAGAGCAAGCACTTAGTCCAAAATAATGGGCTCCTGTAACTTTTACTTAACACTCTTATTTCATTAGAAAAGGAGACTGGAGGCTGGTCCTATTGCCTAGTGGTTAAGGGAGGTGGCGCGCTCATGGCCCACTGCAGTCTGAATGTATCTCAGTGGTTTGAAAAAAGAAAAGAAAAAAGCTGGATAGGAAGAAGTAAAAGAAGTAACTTGAGTGTGACCAATCCAGACCCTGGTTAACTTCTTCTGCACCTCCTTGCTATACTTTCTACTCCACCACCATTCAACGCTCCCTACTAAGACCGACCATCGCTGGGCCTCTACTTTCCCAGGCCACAGTGGCCCTCCAGCGCTCCGCGCTCCTTTAATCAGCTCAGCAGGGCCAGAAGCCCCGCCCACGCCACATCTGGGCTCCTCCCACGTGCCCCAGGACCCCGCCTTCCTGTGGGGGGGGATCTCGATCCTACTCTATAGAGACCTTTCGGTTTGCACCGGGGACAGGCCTGCAGCGAGGAGGGTGGGAGCTCTCGCTGCCGCTGACGGTAGGTGGGAGCTCGAGTCGCGGTCGGGGCCTGGACTGGAGCCGGGACCGGGTGACAAGGGGCCACTCAGATCTCGCGCACTGGCCGGGAATTGGCGCGGGCGCTGCCTCCCAGAAGGGACCGCGCGCGGCAGGGGCTCTGGGGCAGGCCTCCGGGAGTGGGCGGGTCCGCGCGTGCGCAGTCTGTCTTCCCGGCGCGCTGTGCGGGGCTTGAGTGAGCCTCTTCCTCCGTGCGACCAAGCTGCGGGTGATCGGCTTTGTTACACCTTGGGGTTCGCGAGCCTCACCTCAGTGCAGTCAGCGCTGTAGGAATGGAAAGGCAGCTGGCCAAATCTGTTACAGAGAGCGCGGAAAGAACTGACGCTAGGCGGGGATCGTGGGTGGGGCTGTGGTTGGGGACCCGGATTCGCCCTCTCCTACGACGACAGGGCGTGGCCCAGTGGGCTGGTCTCCGGGGCCCAGCTGCCCTCTGCAGGCGGTCGGAAGAACTGCCCGGCCGAGGAGCGGAGGTCGGGTCTCTGCAGACTTCAGCCTCGCTGTTGCCGCTCAGCATCCCCATCTCATTCAGGAGTACTGCACCGGTGAACCTGGTAAACCTACAGGTGGCCTGGAAGAAAAAAAGAAAAGGATGATGTTTAGAGGACTCTGGCTCAACTGGATGCGCGTTGTGGGAGCAACCAATGGGTCCTGCCTGGGCCACGTATTAAATTACCACCTCCCCCCAAATAAACACCGTCAAATTTGAGGATTCCTGAGCTCCTGGGCTTTCCGAAGAAACAGATCAGGAAAATAAACCCAGTTTTAGTGACTCAGTGCCTATAAGGGAGATCAAAGAGTCTGGCCACTTCGTCTGCCTTTGTGACCTTTGGCAGTATGGAATCTTATCCTTTGAAGACTATATGAATCATGTCAGGAGACCACGCTTTAAAAAATAAGATTATAGGGGCCAGCCGGTGTTGTAGTGGTTGAGGTGCTGGACTCCCACTTGGTCGAACTGGCCAACTGTGGTTGGAGTGCCAGATCCAGAGGCTTGAAACTCACGCTGGCTGTGTGTGTGCTTGTGCCAGCCCAGAATCCCGAGGGAAATGGAGAAGGGATTGGGGAGTGGCCATCCCCCCTGGGGAGTGATTTCTCACTTTCTCTCTCATTATAACTCATATATGTGCATTTGGGAGATGGAGAGATTTTGGAATTCCTGTGCAGACTCTAGATTAACAACTTTTAGGGATTAAAAAATCAATTTTTCTTTTTTAAAGAATTATTTTATTATTTAATTTTTAATTTTTTGAGAGATTTTTGCTATAGGGCACATGTTCTTGCCTGAGAGAGAGAGACAGGGAGACGGAAAGCAAGAAATCATCCCCCAAGAGGGATGGCCATGCTACAATCCCTCTCCTCCATTCTGCTTTTGGGATCTTGGGCATGCATACGCACATGCTCGGTGTGTTTCAAGCCTCTGAGTCTGGGACTCAAACTCTGTTGACTACATGGGAATCCAGCCACATAACCATAATGCTATCTGCTGGTCCCTATTTATTTATTTATTTTTGAGAGGTTTTTGCTATAGGGCGCTTGCGCTCACCAGGCAGAGACATAGAGACAGAAAGTGAGAAATCACCCCCCAGGGGGGATGGTCACGCTGCAATCCCCTCTCCTCCATTCTCCTCTTGGGATCTTGGGCACGCACGCACACTCGCCCGGTGTGAGTTCTGAGCCACCGCGTCCGGGATGCGAACCCCGGTCGACTACGTGGGAGTCCAGCGACATAGTCATTACGTTAACTGCTGGTTTCCCCCTATTTATTTATTTGAGGTTTTTTTTTTTTTTTTTTTTTTACTATAGGGCACATGTGTTTGCCAGAAACACAGAGAAAGACAGAGACAGAAAGCAAGAAATTCTGCCCCCGCCCCCAGGGGGATGGCCACACTGTAATCCCTTCTCCTCCATTCTCCTCTCAGGATCTTAGGCATGCTTGCACATACTCCTGGCATGAATTTAAGCCACCAGGTCCGAGACTCGAAACACAGTTGACTACATAGGAGTCCAGTGATGTATCTAGTATGCCATCTGCTGGTCCCCTTACTTATTTTTTAATCTGACCAAGGAGAGACAGAGAGAGGGAAAGCAAGAAAGCAAGCCACCAGGTCCAGGACTCGAACTATGGCTGGCCATGTGGGAGTCCATCATTTTAACCAACACGCCACCGGCAGGCCCCTTAAAAAACAAATTCTGAGAGCTTCTGGGGCTTTTTCTTTTTTAAGGGATTATTTACTTTTTAATTTGCCATCATTATTATTATTTTAAATTTGCTACAGAGCATGTACACTCACGAGAGACACCAAGAGGGAAAGTGAGAAAGCCAGCCACCAGGTCCAGGACTTGAGCCACAGTGGGCCTCATGGGGAGTCCAGTGCCTTTACCACCATCTCCCTACTGCTCCCCGATCAGGGTGTCTTTAGATAATGATCACATAATTTGAATTTTCTGCCCCTGATACTTAGGACTTACAGTGTTTTATAAGACAAGAACGATTCCCTCTTTCTTTAAAGTTCTGGGGAAGGATAGCATTGACGTATCTATGGGGAATGTGGTAAAGATGCGACTGGGATGGTAACTTGTATTGTTAGAAAGCGGATATACTGGTAACAGTTTGCTGAAGCATAAGCACTACGATAGAAAGAAATAGTTTTTACCTTCTAGGGACTTAATATGAAAAAAAAAAACCTCTCAAGATTCTAATAAAGGGACCAGCAATTAGGGTAATGGCTATGTCGCTGGACTCCCACGTAGTCGACCGCAGTTCGCATCCCGAACCCGGTGACTTAGAACTCACGCCAGGCGTGTGTGCGTGCATGCCCAAGAGGAGAATGGAGGAGAAGGGATTGTGGCGCCCGGGGGATGATTTCTCGCTTTCTGTCTCTCTGTCTCTCTCTCTCTTTCTGGTGAGCGCATGCGCCCTATAGCAAAAACCTCTCCAAATAAAGAAGAGAACAAAGATTCTAATAAATAGATTTTTTTTTAGTGAGGTGACTGTGCTGAGTATACACAGGGGAAGAGTAAATCTGTGCCCTCTGTTTTATTGGGGAGGCCTTTCCCCTGGTTTTAGCAGACACAGAGCTGTCTGAGTGGTGTTACATTATCTTTGAGATGCTTTGCTAAGACAGAGCCTTCCTGCAGATGGAAGAACTGGAGCAAGGCCTGTTGGTGCAGCCGTGGGCGTGGCTACAGGTTGCTGAGAACACCCTTTTGGCCAAGGCTTACGTCACCAAGCAGGGCTATGCCTTGTTGGTTTCGGATCTTCAAAAGGTGTGGCATGAACAGGTGGACACTAGTGTGGTCAGTCAGCGAGCCAAGGTAAGTGCAGAGAAGTACTGCTGTGGGGTGGCGAGGGTGAGTGTCAAGGGACGTTACAACCGGCTTGCCAGCCTGGGTTACCAAGGCCGGTTGAATCGGGTGGAGACCATTCCAGTTAATGTCCTACATTTCTGTCCGTAGTCCTGGGATTTTTTCTGTGTGGTGTGTGGTGTGTGTGGTGTGTGTGTGAGAGAGAGATCATTCCTGTTGTGGGTGAATAATAATGCATAGTGTGATCTATACCATCTTTATAGGCCTTCTTGTAAATTGATCTTGCCCAAGACAGAACTGTAAATTGCGCCAGTTAATCTTTCTTCTTTTGGTTTCCTTCTTTCCTGCTCTGATGTTTTTATCTTCCCTTCCTCTCATGCCCATGGTCTTCATGTTCACCAGAACTTTCCCTTGCTATTGCTCATGAGGGAGTCCGTTTCCTTTAGCACCCAGACTCTGTATAACTGGTGTCTCTGTAGGAGCTGAACAAGCGTCTGAGTGCCCCACCAGAGGCTTTTCTCTGTCATTTGGATAATCTGCTCCGCCCTTTGTTGAAGAACCCCGCTCAGCTTAGTGAAGCCACCTTCTCCTGTGACTGTGTGGCAGAGCTGCTGATACTTCGGGTGCGGAGTGAGCTCTCTGGTCTCCCCTTCTATTGGAATTTCCACTGCATCCTAGCTAGTTCTTCTCTGGTAAGTGCAATTCAAATATGGGGCAGTGGAGGGGGGAGGCCAGCTGTGTTAAGAGGAAGTTTCAGATGCTCTTATTATTCTTTAAAAAATTATTTTATTTTATTTATTATCATTATTATTTTTTTAAATTTGACCAGAGAAAGGCAGAGAGAGAAAGTGAAAGTGAAAAAGTAAGTCACCAGATCCAGGACTTGAACTGCAGTCAGCCATGTGGGAGTCCAGCACCCAACCACTGGCCCCAGCTATTATTATTATTATTATTGTTTTTGAGAGGTTTTCGCTATAGGGTGCGTGCGCTCACCAGACAGACAGAGAGAGACATTGAGACAGAAAGTGAGTAATCAGCCCCCAGAGGGGATGGGCACGCCGCAATCCCTTCTCCCCCCTTCTTCTCTTGGGATCTTGGGCACGCATGCGCACGCGCCCGGCGTGAGTTCTAAGCCACCAGGTTCAGGATGCAAACTGTGGTCGACTACGTGGGAGTCCAGCGACATAGCCATTACGCTAACTGCTGGTTCCCTTATTATTATTTTTTAAAGCAGTAGTATATACGCATGGGGCGGGTAAGGGAAAAAAAGGGACAAAGACCTTGTCAGAGTCTCGTCATGTTAGTCTTCTTTCCCCAGCCCTCTCGCTCTTCAGAATCTTGAGCACCTACATATAAACTCTGTTTTCCAGCTGATCCAAGGATTATAGTCAGCCATGTGGCTTTCAGCACTATAGTCTAGTATGCTACCTGAACTGTGCCTTTTTTTTTTTTAAACACTGTTTGAACTTCGTCTCTAATCAGAAACTGTTCCTTGACTAGATAGGAAGCAAACGTAATTCCTCTTTGTTTGTTTATTTGTATATCTGTGGTGCTTTTTCTTTTTAGACAGAATGTCACTATCCTTCTGCCTCAGTCTCCCAAGGAGCTTGGCCCGCAGGTGTACTGTATCTAGCTCCAAAAAGGATCCTTGACTAGTACATCCTTTTCTTGCAAAGAGAACAGAATTTCTGTCTGCACACTTTAGGGGGAGTCTCTATTCATTTATTTATTTATTCAGGTTTTTTTTTTTTTTTCAGAGAGATTTTTGCTATAGGATGCATGTGCTTGCTCGAGAGACAGAGAGAGAGAGAGAAAGTGAGAAATTACCCCCCAGGGGGATGGCCCTCCCACAGTCCCTTCTCTTCCATTCTCCTCACAGGATTTTGGGCAGCACACACATGCGCTGGGTGTGAGTTTCAAGCTGCTGTATCTGGTCATGAATCGCAGTCAGTCGTATAGGAGTTCAACACCTTAATCACCACACCAGCTGGTGGCCCCTATTTACTCAGAATTTTATTAATTACTGGGTGTCCAAATCTGACACAATATAGCTTCTTCCTGGAATTTATAATCTAGTGAGGAGACAGACAGACAGAACAGGATAAGGTATAGAAAATTCTTTGACTGAAGTAAGCCCAGGCTGGGTTGAGGATCAAAATCTCTTTGAAGAGAGTGTTTCTTCTTTTCTTTGGAGAGATTTTCACTATAGGGCGTGTGCGCTCGCCAGACAGACAGAGAGAGACAGAGAGACAGAAAGCGAGAAATCACCCCCCAGGGGGGATGGTCACGCCGCAATCCTTTCTCCGTACTTCTCTCGGGATCTTGGGCATGCACGCACACGCGCCTGGCGTGAGTTTTAAGCCACCGGGTCCGGGATGCGAACCACGGTCAGCTACGTGGGAGTCCAGCGACACAGCCATTACGCTAACTGCTGGTTCCCAAGAGAGTGTTTCTGAACTGAGTGTTGAAGAAGTCTTAGAATGTAGTTGGGAGAAAGCAAAGAGAAATAGCTTTCTAGGTAAGAGGTATGGAACTGTGCAGTGGTAAGGCGAGTGCAGCAACTTCACTGCAGTGTGGGTAGGAAGGCGTGAGAAATGAGGTGGGCAGTGCCAGATCCTGAAGGATGCTCATGAATTTGGGTTTTATCCCAAAGGCAACAGAGACTCATTGGAAACTTCAAACAAGAGTTTAACATGGTGGCTGGCCCCATGGCCTGGTACTTAAGACAGCCGGATCACACATGATTGACATGGGGTTTGAGTCCCAGACCCAGGGGCTTAAGAAGCATGCCAGGCATTGGGGGCTAGCAGGTAGTGTAGCGGTTACATAACTGGATTCCCATGTGGCCAACTGCAGTTCCAGTCCTAGACCTGGCGTCTTGAAAGTCATGCTGGGCGCATGTGCATGCACGTCCAAGAAACTGGGAGAAGGCATTGCGGCGTGGCCATCCCCTGTGGGGGGTGATTTCTCACTTTCCCTCTCATTGTCTCTATCTTTCTTTCTGGTGAGTGCATGTGTCCTAAGGCAAAACCTCTTAAAAAGTAAAAAAGAAACATGCTGAGCATATGTGTATGCTTGTCCCAAGTCCTGACAGAATGGAGAAGGGATTGTGGTGTGACCATTTCCCAAGGGGATTTTTACTCCTTTCTTTCTCTCTCTGTCTCTCTCTGTCTCTCTCTCTCTCTGGCAAATGCATATGCCCTCTAGCAAAAGAAAAAAAATAACATGATCTGGGGCCGGCAGGTGGCATGGTGGTTAAGGGCGCTGGACTCCCACGTGTCTGACCATAGTTCGAGTCACAGACCTGGTGGTTCCCTTTCTCGCTTTCTCTCTTACTTTTCCACTGGTCAAATTTAAATAAATAAATAAATAAATAAATAAATAAATAAATAAATAAATAAATAAAGTAGAGACCAGCAGTTAGCGTAATGGCTATGTCACTGGACTCCCATGTAGTTGGCCACGGTTTGAGTTCTGGACCTGGTGGCTTAAAACTCACGCCGGGCGTGTGTGCGTGCGTGCCCAAGATCCCAAGAGGAGAATGGAGGAAAAGGGATTGCAGCGTGGCCATCCCTCCTGGGGGGGTGATTTCTCACTTTCTGTCTCTCTGTCTTTCTGGCGAGCACACGCGCCCTATGGCAAGAACCCCTCCAAAAAAAAAAAAAGAATTTAACAAAAAATAAATAAACAAAGTTAAAAGAAATAATTCTTTTAAAAAAATTAGCATGGTCCAATTTGTGACTTATCAAGATTACTCTGGTAACTGTGGAGTATTTACTAATACTTTTCTAATTATTGGTGTTTTTATTTTTTTGTAATTTGCTATCGGGAATATGCCTTACTGGGGAGAGACAGAGAGGGAGAAGGAAAGTAAGGAAGCACCTTCTGGGGAGTTGGCTACGCCTTCTCCTCCATTCTCCTCCTGGGATGGTGGATGTACATGCACATGCGCCCAGCATGTCCTCAAGCTTCCAGGTCTGGCACTCAGACTGTGCTGTGGGCCACGTGGGATCTAGCTGCCTTAACGACCACACCGCTGGTTAGCCTAACATTATCTCATTTTTTAATCGTCACAGCTGTCCTGCAGATAACTATTGTCCCCATTTTTCAGAGTAGGAAGCTGATATTGAAGGTGACTTGGCCAAAGTTGCCCAGCTTATAAATGAATGAACTAGAATTTGAACCCTAGATTAATCTAGGCTGAAAGCCCATTTTCAGAGACAAGAGGATTATATTCTCTACTCAGCTATAGCTTTATGGGCCCCAACAACTTAATTTTTTTTTTTTTTTTTGGCATAGGGTGCATGTGCTCATCAGAGACATAGACAGAGAGAGAGGGAAACAAAGAAACCATCCCCAGGGGATGACAATGCTGCAATCCCTTCTTCTCCATTCTCCTCTTGGGATTTTGAGTGTGCACGCACACACACTTGGCGATTTTTTCAACTCACCAGTCTGGGACTCAACAGCATAGTTAGCAATGTGGGATCCAACCACTTTAACCTCCATGCCATCTGGGGCCCAACAACATGTTTTGTCATCGCCAAAGGGCACATACATTTGCCAGAGTGACAGAGAGGGAGACAGAGAAAGAGAGGAAGCACCCCTCAGTGGAGTGTCATCACACCGCAATCCCTATTCATTTCTCTATCCCATCACGATTTGGGGCACATACATAATGCACCTGGCATGTTTTTCAAGCTGCCGTGGCCAGGATCTTAACTATGGTCTGCCATATGGAATCTGGCTTCTTTAACTGCTGGACTACAGGGCTGACCTTCCTAAGCCCCAGCAGCTTTTATTAGAAATGAAGAGTGGGAACCAGCAGTTAGCGTAATGGCTATGTCGCTGGACTCCCACGTAGTCGACCACAGTTCACGTCCCGGACCCGGTGGCTTAAAACTCACGCCGAGCATGTGTGTGTGCGTGCCCAAGATCCCGAGAGGAGAATGGAGGAGAAGGGATTGTGGTGTGACCATCCCCTCTGGGGGGTGATTTCTCGCTTTCTGTCTCTCTGTCTCTCTCTGTCTGTCTGGCGAACACACACGCCCTATAGCGAAAACCTCTCCAAAAAAAAAAAAAAAAAAAAGAAATGAAGAGTGAACTACTTTGCAAGAGTAACAAATAGTGCTTGTTTTAGTCAGTAACATTCATACGACAGGGTCTTCTATGGGAGGCCTAAGGTTATCGGTCTATCACCAGAAGATGCGGACGACATGTGGATTTTAGTTCCTGTTTTCCTTTTTTAGTCTCCTATAGGTAGTGCGATGCTTTGGCATCATAACCGTGGGTGGAACAAAGGACTTTTTGAGAAGCTGTTTACTGATGTCCATTAATGTTTTTTAGAGTTATTTTATTCAACTTAATTTATTTACTTTTGAAAATTTGACCAGAGAAGGACAGAACAAGAGAGAGAGACAGACAGAGAGAGAGAGAGAGAGAAAGAGAAAGCAAGCGGCCAGGTCTGGGATTTGAACTGTGGTCAGCCATGTGGGATTCCAGTGCCCTGAGCCATCATGCTGCCTGCTGGCCCTGATGTCCATTAATTTAATTAGTAAGAGTTTATTTTATTTTTGTTTTTGCTATAGGGTATGCGTGCTCAGAGAGAGATAGAGAGAAAGTGAGAAATCACTCCCCTGGGGACACAGCCACACTGCAATCCCTCCTCCTCCGTTCTCCTCTCAAGATTTTG